ACCCACTCACTCAACAAAACTGCTGTGTTGTGCTGTGTTAATTAAAAATCTGCTGTTTCCTTGGGTCTGCTGGGTTTTGAGCCTAGATGGAGAAATTCAGGGTCTCAGTGATTTTTCTCCCACAAGGACAGAGTAACACTGAAATAACAGCTGGCCCTTCCTAACAAGAGGAGTGGGTGCACGAATAAGGTGCCACCAGCAATAGACACCCCCCCAGTAGTCTTTCCCCCATGAAATGGGAAATGGCATTGTTTTCTCATCATGCAAAATCTTTAAAATACAACATGTAGGTAAGGTGATAAAATTGGGGGCTGGCTGGGAAAGCTGAATCTGCAGCACAAGCTGTGTGTAAATTTCCCACAAGCCAAGCCTAGTAACTCTTGCCGTTCATGCACGTGATCATCCCAGTGTCTCCTGCCAAACGTTTGCGTGCCTCCCTGGTGCGGTTGCCTAAAGTTTGCAAGTAATGTAATGCAAAGTGTGGCCCTAACGCTAAAGTCAATGCTTTTACTTTAGGAATGCATCTCGTCTTAAGAAAATAACCTTTTGAAAGTAACATGCTAGTGCCCTTAGAGGCCTTGACGTTGCCAGTTCTTCTGGGCAGGAGGAGGCAGATAGTGATGCCTTTTGTCATTGGCTCACAGCGGTCTCCCAAGGGACCAGATGTGGTCAGATGGGAGATTCTGTAAGGCAAAGTGGGCCTTTTCAAGAAATCTCATCATACTTCACGGTGGACTCCGTTGGCTTGAGGTGATGAGAGTGGTACTTGCACAACATCTGGAGAGCCACATGTGGCTAGCCCTGTTACAGAGGCCGCTCCAGCCCCTGCCCCCTTTCCAGAGAACGGCCCGTTTGCAGGCTGATGCCACACAGGCAGGCCTACTGCATGTGAGGGCAATCTGCTCCCAAGTTGTCAGGGTGTTGCTTTCTGCCTCTGTTTCCTTCCCGGTTTTGCTTACGTGACCTTCTGCACCGATTCTTAGCTGTACCTTGACATCCCTCAGGCACGCCTTTGTATCTGCTGTCTAAAAATATCCAGCTGGTAGGATTCATGATCCAAGATAGCTAATTGAAACCATTCTTCTCCACATTTTGGCAGATGATGCCTGCATCTTAAGCATTAATATCTATAAACTGAATAGTTAATGAATCTGGACTCTAATAATGAATTGGAAATGCTAAAATTATCAGGATGTGGAAAGGAGATTTCAGTCACTTTTGCTTATTAAAAGCCAAGCTTTGCTACTTAATGAACTAATCACCGGATTCGACCCCAAAGGAGTAGCTCAGATGATGGGGAGCCACTTCCTCCGTGCCAAGCACTCCCCTCCCTGAGACATTTTCTGAGTGCTCAGCCGGCCCAAGGGTGCCCTGCTGAAGCACAGGCTGGCTGCTGCCACCCCCACCCCCTTTTTTCCCTCAATGCAAAATGCAGCAGAGGCAGGATGCCCTGTTGGGCTGGGGCTGGTCTTTCTGCCATCTTGCCGTGTGGGGCTGGCCTCCCAAACCCCGACCAGAGAATTGGGCCTTTATTGGGCTTTGGCAAACCTTTTCACAGACCAAAAGGTCAATGTTGCATAGTTCTGCCGCATGTGGTGCCCAGTGGCCCAAGATCACCCTGGTCAAGCCTTCTTCCTCCCTCTTGGACTGAGGCTTGGGTGCCCCTTGGGAAGTCTGGTACTTCCTACCGTATGTAATTCCTCCATCCGTCAATTTCCTAATGTCTCTTCCCCCTCTACTGAGTATGCTTCTTTTCATCTCTCCACTACCTTTGGCTATGTTTGACTAGCTTGGAAACCTGGAGAATGCCCAAGCAAATGTGAACTGGACAGGCTTGGGGTGTACTTGAACGCTCTCTCCCTCCCCTGTGCATTTTGAGTCTTTTCCATAGCGCTAGAGCAGCCAGAGCTGGACATTGACCTATAATTGTCTAGAAGAGTTATGGTTTATAGAACTGCACCCTGCTTCCCCACGTGGAAGTGGGCTCTTTCCTGTCCCGGCACATTCCTGTTTTCCAGCAGCATACCCTGGGTCCTGGTGGAGGGATTTGCAGTTAAGCAAGGAACTGGTTTCTGAGGCACCTGTTCAGCAAGAGTCATGCAACTTTATTGTCTAAAAGCTAACAGCCTGGAATGTGGAAGGTGCAGCTTCGGTGCATGTGGGAAGCAAGGAGGTGGTTCTGCCCCTTTCTGCTTATTAAGGCAGCTGTTAAGACACAAGAATATAAGAGCCCTGTCTGGAAAAGAAAGTGTCACCTAATCTGGCCGTGAAGAACTGACCGGAGTTCCCTTCCTGCTCCTCTGTGACCTTGACTGTGAGCGTCGGAAAAGGAGAAGGGCTGGATGACTTTGAAAGGCTTTAGGCCATTGATTCCCAACCTTGGGTCCCCAGATGTTCTTGGACTAAAACTCCCAGAAATCCCAGCCAGCAGAGCTAGCCGTGAAGGCTTCTGGGACTTTTAGGCTAAGAACATCTGGGGAGTCAAGGTTGGGAACCACTACCTTACACTGAAAGTCTGTGCAGTTTGTTCAGAGACAATTCATGACGACTTCTGTGGCACTTATCCAAGAAGTGCGTTTGTGGGTTTGCGTCTTTAATGTGATTTTTTAAAATCGTCTAATTGGTTCTAAACCACCACCAGTTTTGGCTTAGGAGGACTGGTCTCAGACATGTTCCGTTGGGATCTGCGCTCTGCACATGCACTGAAGGAGGCTTCACCTTATAAGTAGGTTGTGCTGAGCTCATGGCTCACAACCAGGCTGTATGGAGGCTCCCACCTGATCGAGCGGTTGTTACTAATTACATGAGGTCTGCTCTTCTGGATTGCTGGTTCCTAGAGGTCTGATCCTGTAGCCCACCCAGCCTGGCATCCTGCTTCCCAGTTTGCCCTGAAAGGAAGGCTCACAAATGAAGCAAGAGGGCCAAGAATTCATTATACGCTCCCAGCATCAGGTACGCAGATGCACGGGAGGAGGACTCGTGTACACGTCGTCATGGCTGATTTCTGCTAACCCTTGCCTCCTCCATGAGCTGTGTCTGCATTATAATATAGGGTATTTGAGGAAATTAAGATCCCTCAGATGTACAAAAGACGTGTTCCTGTTAAAGCTGGAAGCAGGTAGATTGTGGTTTTTTTTATTTTTAACTTGGACAAAAAGTGTCTATTTCTGATATTAGGGAAAGAAAGGTCTCTTTGAGGATCAGAGGCTGCTAATCTTGGTCTGTTTGGAGACCCATGTTCTCTCTCTCTCTCTCATTCCCTTGTCCCCATTGTTTGGTATTTGCTGTATTTGGGTGTTCCCCCTGAAGAGCAGGAGTGGTGAGGAGGGGACGGGACAGGCTCCTAATTTTTTCTCAGTTAAGTGGAGAAACACGGTTGTCCCAAAATGTTGCAAACAGTTCAACGTTCACATCCCAAGCAGGCAGAACAGTTTGCTCTCCCTTGTGTTGTGTTTTAATGTTGCCTCTACTTGTTTGTTCTCCTCCCGTCTTCCGCTGAGCTCAGGGTGGGATATATCAGGAGGGGGGGCTACCCCACTTAATCCTCCTAACAGCCCCACTTTATTACACTCCTAACAGGTGTGGCTCAGGCAGTGACTGGCCCAAGCTATCCCACTGAACTGGTCTCTCCAGTTGGAGTCTAACATGTTGGCTCCTACACCCACCCACCCCGGTCCCCTGCTCTAGGCAGCTTGCTGTTCTGTAGCTGACAGCCAGTCCTCTATGGAGCACCGCTGCACCCAGGGGTTCGTATGTGTATGTGCTGTGGAAATCACTAATTATACACAACAGATACTGATAATTAACAAAGATTTAATTATATTAAATTATGATTGATATTTGACAAGAAAAAAACTTAGGAAAACAGCTATAACCTTTTAGTTATTTTTAAAGCTTACAAAGTTAGGGGTGGTTTGGCACAGAAGTAAGATGGAGTCTGGGGATTTGCACAGGCTGCTAGCCTATGTGGTGTAAGAAGCAAGACATGGACAGATCTTTGCCCTCTCGGTGAGTTAGAACCTGTTGTTAGTGTTGCTGTTGAGTCGCTAAGTCGTGTCCGACTCTTCGTGACCCCATGGACCAGAGCACGCCAGGCCCTCCTGTCTTCCATGGCCTCCCAGAGTTGGGTCAAATTCATGTTGGTCGCTTCGATGATGCTGTCCAACCACCTCGTCCTCTGTCGTCTCCTTCTCCTCTTGCCCTCACACTTTCCCAACATCAGGGTCTTTTCTAAGAAGTCTTCTCTTCTCATGAGATGGCCAAAGTTTTGGAGCCTCAGGTTCAGGATCTGTCCTTCCAGGGAGCACTCAGGGTTGATTTCCTTCAAAATGGATAGGTTTGTTCTCCTTGCAGTCCAGGGGACTCTCAAGAGCCTCCTCCAGCACCACAATTCAAAAGCATCAATTCTTTGGTGGTCAGCTTCCTTTATGGTCCAGCTCTCACTTCCATGAGTTAGAACCTAGAGCTAACCAATAAGAGTTGGGTAGTGGGAGAGACTCTCGAGGGTCATAAGGAGTCACTTCTTCCCATAAGTAAAGATGGAACCCGCTGCCTCAGGAAGTACGGGGATGGCTTTGAAAGGAGGCAAGGCAAATTATTTTATTTTACTATTTATTTATTTAACATATTTTTGCCTCCGCCCCCCCCCTTGCGCCCTGTGGATGCTGGAGGGCATGCTGTTCTGCTCCCTCCTGCTCTTCGGCTTACCTGTTGCAGGAGGGGCACAATTGGCCACAGAGGGGAAGAAGTGCATGACTTGGGGGGGGCGCGTTTGGCCTGATCCAGCAGGAGGGGCTTCTCTTAGGCTTTTCTGCATCTTGTTTGCTTGCGGGCTTCTGTTTCAGCTGAACTGCTTTGTCATGAGGTACCTTCTCAGCCAGAGCTGGCTGCCTTCTTGGTTCCCTTGTCATGAAGGTGGGGCAGGGGACTGGAGGTGGCTGCCATGGATGGCCCTTCTGAAGCCCTTTTCTGTTTCCTTTCTCTGGTTTCTCCTTCTGCAGGCAAAAGTGAAGCTCTTGCAGGCTTATGTCCTAGATCTGACTGACCAGAATGACATCTTGATCCAGGCGGTGGAGGAACTGGAAAGCCGAACAATTGAGCCGGTGAAAATGGCGGCTGTGGAGTCTGATTATCAGGTGGGGCACAGTTTTGGAAATGCAAGGGTTCCTCGCTTGATGGAATGAATCACTTGGCCACCCTGTTTTGCCCAGGACCCTTTGACATTAACCCAAGCACCACTGTATTAACCACAGCACACAAAGTGTCCCATTTTAAATCATACTGGGTCTGTTCCCACCCATTCCCGCCCTCTCTTCGGATACCATTCTTTTCTGGCTCCAGCGTTGCAAATCTTTCCACCCCCTGCCTCTGCTATCTCTGCCTCATTCTCTTTCCCTCTCTTTTGGTTGCTGGGCCTTCAATGGAAAGAATGCATGGGGTCTCAAATCATCCTCCTTATTGGGAGATAGAAGATGCCCTGGACAACACTGGGCATTTAGTTCAGTTGCATTTGAAAGAGGTTCATGCAGAAGCCTGCAAATGACATATTGCTTAATCTAAGAACAGTTTTCCTTCATTGAATCTTTGGGATTTGATTCACAAATCTCAACAAACATTAAAGCATGGTGGATCCAGTAGACTGCATATATATTTGCATCTTCAAAGTGATTTTGATAAGGCCCTCATCAAAGGCTTCTGAGTAAACTTAGCAGTCATGAGATAGGAGCATAAGGTCACTCACGAACCAAGATTCAACTAAAAAGCCAAAAACAGGATGGGAAAACCCAACAATTTCACATTAGAGGGAAGCAAGAAGTGGGATTTCCTAGACGGAAGGAGATTTATGTCGCTGACTCTCCAAGATCTGGTGTCAGGACTGAGCAGTGACATCGCTCAATTGGCAGGTGGCATCAAATTATTTAAAGCGACACAAGCCTTTATAGGCCACCAAAAAATAAAAAAGGCCCCTGTTCTCCCTCCAAATTGAGTGAAGGGCCAGTAAAGGGGCTAATGCAGTACAATGTACTGAAGGGCAAAGTCACACGCTTTGGGACAAAGTCATCTTCTCTGCTGCAAGAGGCTTAGAAGGCAAACACTCTCTCGGGGAGGATCCCGAGACTGTGCTGCAGAATTCAGTGAAAGTGTCTGCCTGCAGCAGCTGGGAAAAGGCCAGTTCTGTGTTGGAAATGGTTAGGGAAATTCGAATGTCTTCACAGAAATGGGTGGTGTGTGACACCTCTTGGAAGACCGGGCGTGTGTTTCTGGCTTCCTCTGTTCCTGGAACCTGTAAATTCCAGAGACAGGTGACCGGCTCTTTGCTCCACCTGCTTGCTCTTGGCCTAACAGAATGGCGCGAGCGGTCCGTCTGGTGGGGACCGAACACCGTCCTTTCAGGAGATGCTGTGCTCACTTCAGTATAACCCTTGGTACCGAATTTACTCCTAACCTTTGTCCTTGGTTTGGTGTTGCCAAAGGATGTACAGTATAGCTTGGCTCTGAGCATTATGGGGTCAGAGGAGGAGAAGTGTAGGTCTCGCTCAGAAAGCCAAGGAAGTGTGTTTTTGGCTGACCGTCTGGCCCCATGCACACCCACGCCCAAAGTCTCTGTGCTGTCGATGGGAGGTCTCCATCAGGTTATTTGGAAGATGGGCTGTAGTGGCTTGGTACTTCTGGACGCCTCAACATCATTTCCTCTTTTCTTGAAGTTGGAGCCCTTTTTAATTTGGCCTGAAGCAGGTTGAATCCCAACTTACTTTTACTTATTTACCCTGCGTGACCAATTGGGGAGAAGCAGAGGAACTTGGTCTCAATGGATTTTTTCTACCCCCACCCCCGCCACCCCGCCTTTGAATTCTTGCAGTACTCAGGAAGATGGCAGGGCCTCCTTCTCCTGAGAGGGAAAGGCAGGGTTAACATTTGTTTATCTCCTTTCAAGTCTTTTAACATGTTCAGCATGAGGCTTTGGGGCGATGAGAGGCAGCAGGGCTGGGCGTGGGGCAAGGCGAGCTGCCTGTTCTGCCTTTGCAGGCCGAGACACCCCCCCCCCCAAGCAAGGAGCAGGGCTGCGTCTTGTGTGCCTGCCTCCACCTTTCTGGCCCCCACGGCCACCTCCACTTGCAAAGAGGGGATGATGAGCGTGGCCTGCCCGAGAGGAGCCTCCTTACCCCAGCCCAGGGGCAGCCATTAGCCCACTCTCTTCCCGGCGACCTGGGTGTTTGCTTTGCTCTCTCGCAGTCCAATCCGTGTCGCTTGCCTGTGTGTTCCCGCATGCAGAAGGCAGGGTGCGCAGGCGTGCTTCACAACAATGGCTCTTCCCTTCACCCAGCCTGGATGGCGAGCACTGGTGGGCTAACAGAGACCCCTGCTGGGCAATGGTGGGAGTCGCAGCGGATGGCCAGCGCCGTCCTCTCTGTGCAAATCCCCTCGCAGGTCCAGGGCTGATTCCAGTGCCGGCTGCCGAGGCCCGGCGAAGTGGAGGGATGCTGTGCAGGACCGCAAGAGGGCAAGACACACCTGTACGAAGTGGCGAGTGGACTCAAGGCAGAACGGCCCCCTTCAGGGACGGCTTAAGTCTCTTGGACTCTGCCGTGCCTTGCTCACGATGGGCCTCCTCAGGAGGATGGGCGGATCCCGCCCTGGACGGGCCTCCAGTCCGGAGGGGGCCCAGCGTGCTGAGTCCGTGAGCCCGGCTGAGTGGAGGCTGCTTTGGTCCTTAGTCGTTCCCTCCAGTCTGTGGCTGGAAGCGAGGAGATGCCCGGTGGGCTTCTCAGCCCCGCTGGTGTGCCCCATGCGCCTTAAGCCAGGAGTGGTCCTGTGGCCAAAGGGGTCTTCCCCTCACAGTGGAGCCCCACAGAGTGCCGGGCGGGTGCTCCGAGCAGCTCTCTCCCGGGCGTGTGGTTCCCAGGACAGGGAGGAAAGCCGAAGTGCCCTTCCAGGGTGTTCTGGATGGATGGATGGTTCCTCCCCAGGCGATGGGGAGATGGCGGCGGGGAGGGGGGGGAAAGGTCCTCTCCACCCCAGTTTGCCCCTCTGGCCTAAGTAAAGGGGGGGAGCTGGGGGTGTGACAACCGAGCAGCCCTCATGGCTGAGGATCTGATTGGAGTCGGGGAGAGGCAGAAATGCCATTTGGCCTAAAATTGAAATCCTCTGATAAGGAATTCAGAAGCAGCTGCCTCCACCGCGGCCTCGTTCGCTCGGCAGCCAAGTAATCATATGCGCTTTAATAATCTTTCTTTTACAGGAGTGTGTTGCCAGGGTAACGGAATGCAAGCAGCCGAACAGCACCTTGCCGATCTCAAAGGCAAATCTGCCAAAAGAGATTCTCTGCTTGCTCGTCCCACCCCCACCCCCCCCGAAATCCTCTTTGCAGGGTAATGATGGTGCTTATTTTTCATGGGCTGATTTCATAATCGCCTGGAAGCGTCCCTTTCTCCCCATTTTCTTTCTTTATGTCT